ACCTACACTGAACACCTTCAAGAGCAAATTGGATGCTTATCTTGCTGAGATCCTATGACCCCAGCTGACTTCCTGTCCTTTGGGCGGGGGGCTGGACTCAGTGATCTTCCGAGGTCCCTTCCAGCCCTAATGTTTATGAAATCTATAGCAGACTTGATTAATTGAGTCCGCTCCAACACATTCTAGTTAGAATGTAATGAGCACATCTATGTGCACCCTTGTGCTTAAGAGCATGCCCCTTAGAGAAAGGCATTGGAGACACTGGCCACATCTACACAAGATACTGACTGTGCAGTAGCCCATGACTACCATGCAGTAGCATCACGTGGCAGAAAGCATGATGCGATGCTGCGCAGTAGTTTTGGGCTACTGTGCAGGCAGCATCATGAAAAAGCCGTTTGGCGATGCTACTGCACAGTAGGGCTGTGCAAAGCTTCAGTTCCTGATTCAATTGGGAAGAGACTTGGCCCAATTCAGTGGCTGAATCTCTGAATCTGAGTCGAATCAGAGGACCCTTTAATTTCTCAGAATCAAATTGAAACCCTCTGAATTGATTTGGAGAGATTTGGAGATTGACATAGAGACAACTTTAAATGTTTTTTCTGCGTACCTCTAGGTAGCAGGCAGGTGAATGCTGCGATGCTCAGGTGCATGGAGTGTCCCACAGAAGCATGGCGGGCCCCCCCAGCACGCTCAGCAGCAGACCCAGAAGTGGACCAGAAGCATTTCTGGTCCACTTCCGGGTCTGCCGAGAAGCGCACGGGGGGCCCACAACTCCTCAGCTCAGTGAATGGTGCCTCCTGGGGTGGGTACCTGGGGTCCCCCTGAGGCCAATTGCTGAGCCAGGAAGAGACAGGGGGTCCCTCCAACTTCCTGGCAGACCCAGAAGTGGACCAGAAGTACTTCTGGTCCACTTCTGGGTTTGCCACCGAGCACATGGAGGGCCCCCCCCACACTTCTGAGTTGCAGAGTTCATGAGCTCTACCTCAAGGTATGCAGAAAAAACTTCCAAAGCTGTGTCTACGTCCGAATCACTGATTCTCCAAATCAGCATCGAGTCTTCAAATTTGGATTTGGCCGAATTGAATCAGGGACAGCGATTTGAATCAACGAATTGAATCACTGACCTGATTCGGGCCAAATCCAAATTGAATAGCGCCTGCTTCGCACACCCCTACTGCACAGCAATGACGGTGCAGTCAGTGTCTCAGTTAGATACAGCCACTGAGTCTAGTCTGGGTGGAGATGTGCTGCCATCATTTTTAGGAAACTAGGGTTGCAGGTGTTTTCAAGGAGACGCCTTCTGTGAGGCCTCTGGTCAGAAAACCCTGTTTTTGTCTTGGATAACTGTGTCCAGTTTCCTGTCTCTGAGGAAACCTCTGGTCTGAGGTAAGTTTACTAAAAAAGGTTGTGATTAAGTAACTCTATTAGTAAGTCTTGGAATTTCTGAACGCTGCTCAGTATGTATTACAGCCTAGTTTCAGGAAGTGCACTCGTGTGTTGTGTTTATAAGTGGTCTTCCCAAATTGAATGGACAATACCCTGATGCCAGTGAGAGGGTTAATCTGGTTCAGTTTGCAGCTGCCAACTTATTTAAGAGCTCCTTGACACAGGCAGCATTTTATAACAAGGTTTTATAATCTGCATATACTGCCATTAATTGTGGATGAGGTCCAAAATATTGACCTTGATCTAGACAAGCACCGAAGGTTCAGTCTTGGCTTCTTGAAAAATTTCCTTTTTCCCCATAACAAGCTTATTCATAATTCAGGTTATGACCACATCCTCTCCAATTTTTCAGGAAGACGACAAAATGCTCTCCAAAAAATACCATCAGCTTTGGAATTATTTTCCTACAGAGTCCCAGTAGATTGATCTGAAATGCCTACTGCAAGGCTTATATAATTTTTCAGGCCTTTGGGGAAACATAAAGAGAGCCTTGAAGCAGCAGTGTTCTGTTATCAGTTGTAAAATCTTGTTTTCCAAATCTAGGAAGCAAAATTTCATGTTAAATACAACAAAATACTAAGTTATACATATATAAAATATATGTTTTAAATAATATAACAAGTAAAGTTATTTATACATAAAATATAATTTTAAAAATAATAAAATGTAACTGCTGTAAAATTTGGGCAGCTTCTAAGTCTACCAAACACAGCAGTGTCCCTTTAAATTAATAGTGATGAAATTTAGGACAGGAGAGTTCCACAACATGGGTTTGGTTAATAGCAAATAAAATCGAAAAGTGTTATAACTAAGTATGCAAAGTAATGCTTCTTCAATTTATTTTTAGTAAAGGATTTTTTTTAATGATGCAGCTAAATCAAGAACCTGTACATTGAAAATGTACATTATTTTTTGTCTCTGTTCTTTTCCCCTACTGCAGTTCCAGGAAGAATGCATGCAATAGTTCAGAGCCAAATGATACAAAGAAGCCAGCAGACCTGATTGGTCAGGAAGTAATACTGGTTTTCTTTCTTTTGCTCCTTATGGTTTGGTTTCTGAATCGGGAGTTTGAAGTCAGTTACCGCCTTCTCTACCATGGAGATGTAGAAGCTGATCTTCATCGTACCAAAATACAGAGCATGAGGGATCAGGCTGACTGGTTGTTAAGGAATATTATTCCATATCATGTGGCAGAGCAGTTGAAGGTCTCCCAGAGTTACTCCAAAAACCATGACAGCGGTGGAGTAATTTTTGCTAGTATTGTGAACTTCAGTGAGTTCTATGAGGAGAACTATGAGGGAGGCAAGGAGTGCTATCGAGTCCTGAATGAACTGATCGGGGACTTTGATGAACTGCTGAGCAAACCACATTACAGCAGCATTGAGAAAATCAAAACAATTGGGGCAACATACATGGCAGCTTCAGGACTAAATACCTCTCAGTCTCAGGATAACAATCATCCACACGGACATTTGCAAACCCTTTTTGAATTTGCCAAAGAAATGATGAGAGTGGTAGATGACTTCAACAACAACATGCTCTGGTTTAATTTTAAACTTCGTATTGGCTTTAACCATGGCCCCCTCACTGCTGGGGTCATTGGCACCACCAAGTTGTTATATGACATTTGGGGTGATACCGTTAACATTGCTAGCAGGATGGACACTACTGGAGTGGAGTGCCGGATACAGGTGAGTGAAGAGAGCTACCGTGTCCTAAACAAGATGGGGTATGACTTTGATTATAGGGGGACAGTCAATGTGAAGGGGAAGGGTCAAATGAAGACATACCTTTACCCAAAATGCATGGACAATGGGATTGTGCCACATCACCAGTTGTCTATATCTCCAGACATTCGAGTTCAAGTGGATGGCAGCATCGGGCGGTCTCCAACTGATGAGATTGCTAATCTGGTGCCTTCTGTACAGAATTCTGACAAGGTATCTCATAGCTCAGATAACAGCTCAGAACCCAAGGACATGCTTCCTTCCTCCAAAAGGCTCCAAAAAGATTCAGTGAAAGCAGAAGACAGATGCAGGTTTGGAAAAGCTGTAGAGAAAAATAACTGTGAGGACACAGGAACTGAGGAGGCAAATGAACTGACAAAGTTAAATATCTCTAAGAGTGTATGATGCAGTGGCAGAGAGCTGCATGATGTGCTCTGTCCATAGAAACACAAAGACATTTGCAGTTGGCTGTTTTCTTTTTTGAAGAAAGACATTCTCAATGCCTGGGTTGTACGTTTGTTTTCCTTTCTGCACCTGATGCTGTGTAGATCACAGTTCTTCAGGGCTCATTTTCATCCATCTTTCCTCCATGCCCCTTAACCCTCACCCCAAATGCCCCAGCTCCCTGTGTAAACATCTTTTAGCTGAGAGGAGAATATTAAGTGCCTTCAGATATACTCCATCGAACTCCCTATCAAGGTACAGAAGCCCCAAGTAAAATTATAGTTTTGGGTATCTCTAATTTAAAAAAAAAAAAGTTGTGGTTAAGATACCATTTTTATTATTGTTTCCTGCAAAACACTTTTTTTGGATAATGCAACTCCTTGGGTTTTTTATATCTGTATGAATAATATTTTACTCTTATCAGACCTTTTCTGTGTAAATACACGGACAGAATGTATGTGTATCTACCATATGAGACTGAGATAAAAAGTGCCAGTAATGTACCACATGAGGATGTTTTTAACAGATTCACAGGAGTTTAAGGCTGGAAGAGGGGATGACAACATTTTGCTTTGTTGGGCTGGAGAAAGAGTTGAGTTCCACAGTGGCTCAGTGTTTGGACACAGCAAGCCAGTCAGCTGCTGTTAACTTCACTCTCCATTACAATTGCTTTGATCAAACGTAGGTGTCATTGTGTGCTTTGGATATATTGCTTTCCTTACATCCAGCAGGTCATTGCTATGTGGGTATGGAAGAAGGGTTTGGACTTCACCAGCTCTCAGGATAGGGTTCCAAAAGCAAACAAATTACTGTTAAAATTTCTGCAATCCAAGTCTCAGGTATTTTCATTTTGCCCCCCTACCCCATTGGAATTTGTGAGGTTCTAGGTCAAGCTGATATCTCCTAAAGCTGGTCTAGTTTCAGAGAGAACATATAAAAGTTCTGGGGTTACAATGTATTTATTTATTTATTTATAATTCTATTTTTTTTCATTTTGTTTTTGAGAAGGTTTTAGGATTAACAGGGGTGGTAATTAGTGTAATGAAAAGTAATTAGATATCCATTAGTGTTTCAGCCTTCAAACTACCAACCACTCTGAGGATGTTACCTGGGAAATGTTTGTTTCAAAACTGGTGAGACCATTAAAGACTCCAAATGCAGGCTTATTCTGATAAAACCCAGCTTCCCTCCTGAACCAAATTAATGGTGCTGTACAATATTTTTCAGAATTTGCCCCTATCCTTTGCTTTTGAAACAGGAAATATAATGCTTCCCATGTGCCTGCTAAAGCAGGAATCAGGATGGAGTCTCGTTGTCGTGAGCTGATAAGCACAAGAATATACTAATCCTACAACAGACTTTGTGTTGCAGACCCTGGTGTCTGCAGAAGAGGACATCAGTGGGAATCTGTGTGGACATAGGGTCTGTCTGCACAGAGCAATTGCAGGATAGGGGGCTTAGATTAATAGATTGTAAGGCCGGGACCTCAGAAGATTATTGGGTCCAGCCCCCTGCACCAAGCAGGAAAGATAACTGAGGGTCAGGTGACCCCAGCAAGGTGACTGTCTAGTCTCCTATTTGCCTCTTCCATAGTTTAGAACACTTATTTCTATTTTTATTAACTGAATGACCCACTTTGGATAACATTAAACATTGTAAAGTTCAATTTAGACAAATACTAGCTGCATCAAATAATATTTATCCCCAAATAAATTCACTGGCTGTGGGAAATATGGGGACATGGGGAAATGCAGAGCTGTTTTGCCTGCATGTTCATATTTTTAAATTAACTTTCCATCTTCAGTCTGAAGAAGTGATTTAACATGGAAACTATAATATATTTACACTCGCTACTTTTTGTTCCTAATGTGACTCTAGTGTTAAAATCATAAAAAGAGCCCAAGCTCTCACTTAGCTGTTTGAGATGCTATCTGCAATCCAACTTTAGTACCAGCTTCTTAAGTTTTTCTCATATTTAAATGTACAGGGTTTTGGTTTTGGATCCCAGTTGTATTAAACATTATTCTATATACTCTTGTTACAATAACAGCTCTTTTTATGTTTCAAAAATCCTTGATTGCCATGGTAGCTGTTTAACATGACTGAAGTGTTAAAACTTCCAGCAATGAACAACATCAAAAAACCTATACTGGGCATTTAACTTCCACCCTCATACAGAGAATACTCTATGCCTGATTTTGATAGTTGCTGCCAAGCAACAGTGTCATAGTTTTGGGGTTTTTTTTCTCAGTGTGAAGGTGCATAACATCCTTCATTGTCAGTAACTATACATTTTGTCTCTTTTTTTCTTCTGTGTACCTTTAAGATGAGTGTAATGCACTCTGAGACATACTCCTAGAATCCTCTTCAGAATTTTTATTTCAGTTTCTTAAATAATAACTGTTGCTTTTCTTCTAGTGGAGAAGTTGTTATTGTCCGAGATTGTTTACATGCCAGAGTATGTCTCTTGAAGTTGCTACATCCCTTTTTCACCCCATTTATTCTTTCTGATTTTGATGGCCTAGGTAGGTCCAGTGATTAAATGGTATTACTCGTATTATTGGTATTAAATGGAAGTTAATTTTAGCAGTGTTAGCAGCTGAGCCATCGAGCTGTGACCATGTCTTATTTCTAACTTAAAATACCATGCAATTATTATACTTCTACCCATCACAATCTTGCATCTACAAGAGATATACACACTGAAACTAGATGCAAGGGAACAGTGTAGTCCAGGGATTGGAACAGGACTTGCCACTGAGAGAACCTGTTTTTAATTATTACAGTAGTTATTTTTCAGTACAAAGGCTTACAAAATGAATAAAGCCAGTGGTTAGTCACTGTGTTTTACCACATGTGTATTGTTAGTCTTCTGGTAACATCAGGGTACTGAAATGGTTGCATAACTTAGTAGTATCATGGCCACCTTTTCTTGTGCCATTATGCAAGTAAAATGGCTGAGGACAGAAATATGTCTGGGCTCTGAAAACAAGAGATGTTCTCTGTTCTTGCGCTGGATTTGTTCTGTGTAGTGATAATATCTGGATTAAGTGCAGCTAACATTATTTGGCTTCAAAATTTAATGTCCGTGAACAGTGTACCTCTGTTAGCTTATTGCCATGAGAATGACAGCACCTTCACTTCTTCATCTCCGAGATCTTGAATTTTTGTATGCAATTCAGAAATAAAGCTATCGCTGAAATAGTTTTAATGGGTGAGAATTTTTAAGGCTCAAAGGACAGCTAAGGATTCTTCTGTTGAAGTCAGTGGGAGGTGCATACCAAACTCTCATTTGTGCCTTTGAAAAGTTGTGCCAGTCCTTGCATAAATAAGGGATCTGTGGATGTTCTTAAAAACTGTCTCTGTGCCTCAGAGTCAAAAGACAGTCCATGTTGCACATTTGTTTGCAGTAGGTTAGTATAAAAGATTTTTACAGAATACTTTGTGTCTGATCTGCTCTTTGCACCATAGTTTTAAAAGAAACATAAATAATGTAAAAATTCTTCCTTTGGCCATGTAACCTTAAATGGATATTACAAAAAGTTAGTGCCTTGTTTTCTCTTTTCTATATTTTAAAATGAGTTAAGGCAGATTACTGTAGAATCACCAAGAAAAAAAAGGTTGTTAAATGTTTTCATGCCTGGATGTTGTTCTTCAGCCATCAGTCTCTTTTGAGTGGTACTAGATTTTAGACAGTGGAGGAAGATGCAACCTTTCCTTAATCTTCTGGTGATCTGATACAGTTGGTCTGTAAGACAAAACTGATTAGCTCCTTATTCAGTGCAGCTAGTGCTAAAGATGCTAGCTGCTAGTCAGCAGCTCCTGCTTTCCCCCTAATATTCTTAGTCCAGACTTAACCTTGGAATTTAATGGGGCTTTGAGATGGCATAGGATAGAGACAGGTTGATGGAGTTGTAAAAAAGGGCTAAACAACCACATCTCTCACTCTTCTTTTGTTTAACACAAATTTGCCAACACTGACAGAGCTTCACAGAAAGCATTACCTCTGAATCTGGGCATGGTTCATTATAGAAAAGAGGGATCTGTGAGGAAAGAGAAAAAGAAATATTAGCAAAAATAAACTATACTTCCAAGTGTGTGAAGACTTATCACTGGATTGAGGAAAGTCTTTTAGGATGCCTGTAAACTTTTGTATTTTAAAATCACATAACTTAAATTTGTTTCCTTAACTTCCTTTGATACTGAATTTTCAAATGATTTACAATGTCAGGACAAATGTCAAATATCATATGCTGCTCCCATGTAAAATACGGAAGGTGAATGATTATTCTTAAATAGTTGATGTCTTTATTTTGCTCTGTTGCAAAGCATGTGCAAAAAGTACCAGTGAGAGATTATAAATATGCATGCATGAAGTTGGTCGTAACCTGATCAAATTTTTGTCTAAGATTTTTTGCCTGGTTTCAAGATTTTCTGTTTTCTCTCCTTTCAGCTGCAATCTTCTGTATTATGCATGAAAGGATATGTGGAGGGGCATTTCCCCCCAGCATTGAATTATATTTTCTATTTTAACAGCAGTATTTTAATTTCTTTGGTGTCAGATCATGTATTCATAAAGAACTTTTTTCCTCCAGCCTGTCTTCACTACTGTTTTAGTCTCTAACTGGACTCCCTTGTTGAATAGGATTTATTTGCCGTGTTCTTTTGTTAATGCTAATTTGTCCAGGAACGATTTTACTTCTGTACTGTTGATTTCCTATCTTTTTTATTCCTTACCTCACTTTGAGCTGCTTTTCTGCAGTTATAGAACAACATCGCATCAAAATTGTTCAGTTGGTTATTACATTCTCTTTATGAAGAATATATTTGGCCTCACAACATAAAAACACTGGAGTATGACACTAAGTCCGAGCAAATGCAATCTGAGGGAGTGTAACATGAAGTGAAATTGCTAGCAGCATGGAATCTCACTGAAGCAAAGTTCAGATGGGCCCATGTTAACAGAAACGTTCTCAAGGAACCTGCAAAGACAAACGTACAATATGAAACACATTTACAGAAAGTGCAAGCTTTGTTTCATAGTGTTTGAGACTCCCCATATTAAAATTACACTGTGGCAATAGCTGTTATTTGATCACTTCATTCCCAGTCAATGAAATACGTAATGCTGCTTCAATTTCCCATCTGTAGAAGAAAAGGTAATAAAGCTTCAGAAAAACATAGCTGTTTTCTACAGCAGATGTGCCTAAACCATAGCATGTAGAAACTCACTGGTGACATGATGATGGTTCTCCCTTTCCAGCAATTTAATTTAATTAAGAACAGCTAAAAATACATAAAATTCTTATAGCCATTTTTTGTAGATACTACAGGTCTCTCTTATGATTATGAATGGAGTGGAGAGGACTTTCATATTTACAAGCAGGAAAGGAGGAGGGTCCATATGGTGAAAAAATTAAGCATCACAGTTCTACAGCATAGTAACAAGGTAAAATAGTTCCACTCTTAGGTTACACATGCAGCCAGGAAGATGGACAAAACTTAGACCTCAGAACATTTTTGAGACTGAACTAATAATAACTTTGACAGTTGAAAGGTGCAGTGTTTTTGAAGGAAACTGCAGGGAACAGGCTCTTATTCCAGAAAAAGACTTTTTCAACTCTCTACACACCTATTCTCTAGACTATAATGGAATATTTTTCTTTTTTTGGTTCTGGGGCAGCATCCCACTGAGTAAATCCAAATGGCAATGCAGTATTACTACGAATATTCATTACTCATGGCTCTGAAGTTTTCAACATCCCTATAGTACTAAAAATCATAAATTATAGACTATATTTTCAAAAAATAATAACCATTCACCAAAATGAATACCTACAGACATACTATATGCCTGTAGTTTTATTCAACTGGCCCATTGTCTGAGATATTCTCAGTTAAGAAATGCAGTATCATGCACAAGGTTAAAAATCAGTGGATTTATCTAAGAGAAAGGGAAAACCTACTCTGCTTGTATAAATATGGAATAACCAGAGTAACAGTGTTCTAAGACACGCCCTCTCGTCATATAAGCAGGCATATCCCCAGAGAAAAGTTATACAAGTACATGCACACATCTTAAGTCAGCAGGCATAGTCTGAGGATAAGATGTGCCATACTAAGAAGCTGACAAGAGCTAAAAATCTGTTGAATCTGATAAGTCAGCCACTTAAATACAAAGTATATTGTTTTGATGTCTTTTTAAACTTTATGCCACCCTTGAAAGGAACTGAGGTCCTGCTAATGTGATGGTGATCGATAATATGAGTACATGACACGACATGCTAAACTCAACAAAATGCCTGGAAAACAGAGAAGAGAAACATAATCAGATGTCTAGTTGTTTTAAAGGCTGAGTTTTATTCATAAGTTTTATTTTCCTTGCTTGTAAAATTTAAGTAAAATATGAATCTCCTTTATGCTAAAGTCCCATAATACCCTCTCTGTTAGGGTAATGGGGCCTTAGAGTTAACGTATGCTATGGTAATGTAATTTATATCCATTTTCAAGCCCCTTGGTCCTCCCAAAGATGGCTACTTAGTATCAATGAGATTCGGGCCCCCAAAACATACTTTCTTTGCTTTTACTAATGTTGTTTAAAGGAGGCCACTGAGCAAGTTTTTGATAGACTCAAACAAATGAAACATTTTTTTACCAGCCATTCAATGTATTATGGGATTGAGGAAAAGGATGTACAGGTGGTATCACTTGGGTGCCTTCAGAGGAAAAAGAATTGAACTCTAGGAGAAAAAAAAGTTCAGGTATTTATTTTTAAAGTCTTTGCCAGGATTAAATTTCTCATCAGGTCTGCTGTTAACAGAGATGGCTGCTAATTTATACTTCCATGCTTAAATGTTATGTATGCAAATATTCCTTCTTAGTAGCTAAGGAGAGATGTCTCCACTTGCAGTTAGGATGGTATTTTGAAAAGGGACTGTTAGAGAAGGATACTTAACACTTTGTCCCCTTGTCTTACTTGCAGAATTTTAAACATTCCTGGTATGCCTAATGTAATGGCCTAATCCAAGCCTACTCAAGTCAATAAGAAATTTATTTTATTTATTGACTTCAGTGTGCTTTGCTTCAAACCCAAAATGAGGAAAAGAAATAGAGGTAATGCATTTTAAAGCAAACTATGCCACATGCAATGCATTTAATGCCTTCAACAGCAGCTGCCTTATATGAACAGCTTCTAATCATAAATCAATGCAGGAGAGTGGGTTATTTGAGTTCGCCAGTTACTGAAAGCTGTCTTACGGCTAGTGTCTGTTCTCTGCAACTTAGCCTTGACCCAGCTGTGCATGATCTGCTTTGTTCTTTCTTTGTTTTTTTGGTTTGCTCTAATAGCACTTATTTTGATCTTTAGAAAGACAATTTGGTGAATCTTAAAAACTGCACAGAAGGAAATGACTTTGGAAGGATTCTTTTAAATTTTAGTTTTTGGCCATAAGTTCTAACTGGTTTGTATTTCATGGCTACCATCAGCAACTTACATACAGTAGAAGTGTGGACTGAGTCATGGCCTAAAGAATTGATAGGAGTTTTTCAGCTCTATGGTTTGTGAATGTTTATATACCTTCTGACCTACCCATAATTCTGGGAACCATAATTCAAGTGACATCAAAGCAATGGGACTTTCTAAAATTCCCTTCACACACTCTCGCAGTATCTTTTCTAATAATGTTAATTATTTTTAGATGTTGCACAAATACTTGTTTACAGTTTGAAGACAAATTCTAACCCATGAATAGTTGGAAGATGCACTACAATTTACATGGATACATGAGTACATGTGTGCACAGTATGAAATACTGCCCCTACTGAAACCAACAAAACTTGCCATTGACTTCAGTAGGGCCAGAATTTCACCCATTATATGGTCAGTATTTATAGATTTAATTCCATCTTTCTGTTTTCTTATGAAAGTTGCCAAATCATAAGGGCTAGAACCATTTCTACAATATTTGGGGGGGCCTTTTCTAAATCATTTCCCAAAGCAATACCTGCTACAGCACCCGGCACTGCTTCAGACTTGACAACAGCCCTTCTAATGCTAACAATGTTTTTCTATTAACAGGTACTGGTGTAACAACCCACACTTACTAAAGAAACGTTCACCGAAATTTAACTTCCCATATTACTACCACAGCAGTTTTCCAATGCCATGTTATGTATATGCAGCACTGGGGACTCTCATAACATGTTTGGGGAGAACAACTTTAAATTTCAGCAGTAATAAAAAGAAGTAATAGTAATAAATCAAAAGCCAAGAGCCTTAACTAGTCCTAACAGCTATTTAAAGACGGTGGCAGATTCATAAGGAAGGTTGGACAGAATTTGCCTACATGATAAATGGAGGGCATCTCCTATTACTGGGGTGGTGATAACCATATTCTAGGCTGATAAACCCCTGGGCCAAAATTACTGAATTAACAGGGAGTAGATAGAAGTTGTGAATGCCCTCCCTGCATACTGGCCATCTGGGCAGGATAAACACCACACTCTCACATCCCATGTGATCTGTTCTATATGGCATGATCTGTTCTAAAGCTTTTAAGGCAAACAAGTTACATATAATTGGAAAAAATAACTATGTATTCCTCAAGAGCAAAGTGAAGGAGCTAGAAAGAGTAGAAGCAGTTGGGTCAGTAGGATGGGGATGGAGGGGAAAGCTGAGGTAGCCTGGTTTGCTATAGGCATATGGATGTGGCACTTGGAGAGGAGTAGCTAAGCAGAAAACAGATTTGTGTGCTATAGAGTCATTATGCAAATTAGACATCTTAGCCAATAAGAACAAGGAAATGTACATAGAGAAATTAATTGTACTGTTATGGTTCATTAACTGTGCTGCTTCCCTTAGCCCTGATTGAGAAGATTATCCTTCAGCATAATTACTCCCAAATGAGTTTGTAATAACATCTGCCCTTTTCAGGTTTTAGTTTGTTTTTTAAATTTTTCATGTGAGCAATTTTGAGCTGGCAATTGAAATTGTGCATTATAAACTCAGATGCAACTATCCTGTTTCCAGAGCTGAGGGAAGACTGTAGTTGTTTAGAGGGGGCATTTTGTACTTTGGTGTATACAGTATTACATATATGTGACACTAACTAAGCAATTCCTATGCAGAGAGAGCTATCCTCACTGGCTGGGGTGTGACAGGATTGATTATAAAAGAGCCTGAAATAGATACTTTTTAAAGTTAGAAAAACAAAATCTATGAGAGTTCATTTGGTTTCACAGATAATTATGATTTTTTGCAAAAATATTTCTTTTCAAATGCCCGCTTAAAG